ATATTAAAAGATATAATCGAAAGAGGATTTCCAAAAAAATCCATTATGTCTCGACCTACTCTCATGCAAAGAATTACTGAAAATTGTAATTTATTGAAAAATCAACTCAAAACCCAAATGTCCAAATTAGCTTATATAGCTACAACAGCTGATGCATGGTCAATATATAAAAAGTGTGTTAATGAGTTTTCATATTATGTAACATAATATAAACATATTATTAAGATATTAAATCTTGGTGAACCAAAAATGATTTTCCTTTTATCTAATTATTTTTTTTTTAAATTAACACTTACTGAGTAAAAATGTATGTGATTTTAAGATTACAATTATTATTTTTTTAATTTGTGTGTTTATTGTTTATAGGTCATACATTGGCATCACTGCCACTTGGATAAATGAAGATAATTCCAGAACTAATTGTTTACTAGCTCTGAAAAGGCTTGAAGGCAGTCATACTTATGACATTTTGGCAAAATGTATGGACAGTATTTATACAAGTTATGAAATATCTGATAAAGTTCATTTTTGTACAACAGATAATGGCTCTAATTTTGTTAAATGTTTCAGGTATCATAAAATTTAAAAAAAAATTATTTTCTTATAAATTTTAATAATTAAATAAATATAGAGAATTTAATCATATTTTGGATGAAAAGGATGCTAAGAGTCTAATTGATTCACCCAGTAATTTGTCTGAAATAGATGATGATACAACTGAAATTATTAATGTATTTGATATGGAAAATGAAAATAATTTTGAGTTGCCTTACATATTACCAAAGCATCATAGATGTTCAGCTCACACACTCAATTTAATTGCAACAGCAGTAACTAATTTTGATTATTAAATAAATAATGAAAAAATTTGGGTCATAGAATATGTTTATTAAGTTTTTAAAATAAAAAAAATATTGTTTTTTAGTTAAAATTTTTATGAAAATACTGTAATTTTAAAAATACTCCAACAGTNCGATTTCATCGTTATTGATTTGTAGTGGACTATATCGATTTGATAGTCTCCTATTGTTGTTATTACATGGGCCATGTTTAGATATCGGAGAGGAACCAGGTGATTGTGTGTGAGGTCTTTTGTTCGACGATAGAACTGTAATCCACACGTCGTCAGAATCGTCAACGTTATCTGATTTATGTGTTTCGTTTTTGTTAACTACTTGGCTACGGTTGATAATAGTAATAGGCGTTATCGGAGTATTGGTTTGAGATGACGGTGGTGTCTTACTGCGGTTAGACATTTTTCAGCAATTAAGTTTATGATAATTTCTTACCTTGATCCCGTAGGATCACACGATGTTGTGAGTTTGATGCAGTAACGCGATCTCTGTAATTCGGGCTATCGAACGGTGTAAGTTTGGAAAAAGAACACAAAATGTGACGTATAAAAATATATATTAATAGCGGGAGCGTGACACGAGACATGAGAACTCAATGGCAGCTGAAGGCTATCTGGCCATCTATCTGGATCTATATCTATATCTATTTTTTTGGAATAATTACTTGTTTCGTATTAATAATTATTTTATCAATTTAAGGTTTGTAAGAAGTGACATTGAATTTTTAGAGGAGTACCATATGGTTATGGAACCAATTGCATGTAGTTTAGATTTACTCCAAAGTGAAAAATCTATGTATTTTGGCTATCTTATACCTACAGTTGAAGAACTTATACATAAATATACATTGTTTAATCTAGACAGTTCAATTTCTATGAAAATTAAGCCACTTGTAAATTCTATATTAAATGGTAATATATTTTAACACAATATCCAGTAATATACATAAAATGTAGGTGCATGGTATATTTTGGTCAAAAAACCATAATTTTCTACATAAAAACTATACATGAACATTCATTGTTAAGTATAGAAATAATTTTTGAGCTGAATTTTTAATGACATTAATATATGTTAGTATTTAATCAAAATTGATCACTTATGGCTAATTAATCAAGTAAAATTAAAACTTTATTAAAAATATTATTAATATAGTTTTAATTTTACTTATGTTAGTATATTTAATAATTCAAATTCTATTTGATAAGGTATTAAAGCCAGATTTGAAAATGTATTTAATGACAAGTTCTTAACTATAGCAGCTATTAGTCATCCTAAATTCAAAACAGCATGGATAAAAAATGATGTCAAAAAACAACTGGCAATTGAATATTTCAAAAATGCATGTACAGAAGAATATAAAGAGGATAGATCATCATCAGATGATGAATTTAAAAAGGATAGATCATCACCAGATGATGATTTTTTCAACTCTTGGTCTAAAAGTTCATCGGAAGATAACAAAACTCTAAACATAGAAATTGACCAATATTTGGGAGTATCGCCTAATAAAAATTTGGAATGTTTAAATTCATTACCAACTGTTAAGTCAGTAAGTAAAAATTCTAAACACATTGGTTTTGCATATTGTATAGCTTGAACTTATTGCCTAGGTGTTCAGAAAGTATAATACACCCTTACCAAGTAGCGCATCTGTCGAAAGAGTCTTTAGCATTGGTGGTGCTACCATGACAAAGCGACGAACTAATATGACTGATGATAATTTTGAAAAAATTATGATTCTTAAATGTAATAAAAATAATTTTAATTAAATAGTTTATTTAATTGTTGATTTTTGGAATTTATTTAATTATTCTAGTAATTTATACTTATAAAACCATGTTTGAACTAATANAGAACGGAAATAATCTGTTATATTACAATATGTTATAATCAGGAAAATAATTAGCATGAAATTACTTTAACTCTTGTTGGTGATAGATTGTGTTCATAAACATTTATTTTAAGTATTCTTAATTGATAATTTAAATACAGATTTAAATGAATATTAATTATTTTGGTAATTAACAAATAATCTTCAATTTAATGTTTCTTTTTCAAAAGTTATAAGAATACAATGTAAAATTTTTGACTACTAAGCAAAAGATTATTTTATCACTGAAAAATAAATCTTAGTAAAATCAACAAATTTATTGTTAATATACAGCAGACAATAATTTTTTGATGGTTTAACAAAAATTGTTGTTAGTTCAATCAAATTTTATCAAGCTAACAAATATTTTGTTCCAGTGATAAAAATTCTTAATATGCTTAATATGTAGCAATATTGAGAACACATTTCTATAAAAAAGTTTTTTTTTTAATTCAATTATTTTTGTCTCTCTTAACTGTCATACTAAAATATAATAAAACTACCACGATTTTTAAAGTATAATAACTAATCTTTTTTTGTTCTTTGATGCGATGTTGAGGAGATATTTTACTATCAGATTAAAAAAAAAAATTGTTTCTATTAAATTCTCAGTGAGTAACTATTCTTTTAAGTTCAAAGAAGATGAAAAAAAAAAATTTTTATTTAAGGTGCAAACGCTTTAAATTGAAAACGTACGTAAAAATGAATAAATAGACAAGCAATGTATTGGACGGTTTGCTTTATGTATACATAAATCATTATTTCTCAATTCCCTTGAATGAAAGACAAGTAATTCAAAGAAAATTTAATAAAAAAAATTTTTTTATTTAATCAAATCTGATAATAAAAATATTATTAGTATCGTTACTAATTGATATAAATTTTTTGAAAATCTGACCCTTTATCTGCCCACAGGGGGTACTCAAAATAGTAACTTCTGCACAAAGATTTAACTTTTTCAACTTATCTTTTGAAAATGTTCCGGAAATACTCCGAGCTTCAAACATATTCTAAAATAAAGCTAATGTTATGTAATATAAGTTAAAAAAAAATTTATCCCGACGTCTAATCTTCTATGTAAAAATGGTTGCCGTAGATAAAAACATGTAATTTTGGTGTTAAAATTTACCATTTCATATTTTATTTTTTCAACTTTAAATTACTATAACTTTTTGAAAAATGTATGGATCAATACAAATTTTGTTTCTAAATAAACTATATATATATCGTTTATCCGACATACTTTTTTTGTAAATCGGTCCATTTC